GCCAATGAATACTGAGCATTAGTTTGGGAGGGGGGACAAACGGTCAGTCATGAAGATGGAGTGGGATACCCTATATGAGCTCCTTACAGGTCACAGCTGGATTAGCCAACATGGTGTCCTCCAGATGTTGCTGAACTACAACTCCCAGCATCCCTGAACATTGTCTCTACTATCTTGGACTGGTGGGTATTGCAGGCTAACATCTGGAGAGCACCGCATTGGCTACCCCTGGTTTATAGTATCCTGGAGGAAAGAGGGACACTGCTAGGTGACTGGAGCACTCCAGCGAGGAGGCAAGGGTGCACTGCATCATTTAGTTGTAGGTTCCACTTGCACTTGCTAATGCAGAAAATACAGTACACATCAGCTATAGTGCATGCATGGGGGGGAAATGGCACTTCATCCTTCAGAGGATATGAGAGGTTCGCAAGCGCATAGAATGCCTACTTCATAACAGTAGATTTGTGGGTCACTGAGAAAGGGAGGTGACTGTCTTCTGTCGGAGCAGAGCTAAGTGTGACGGCTTTGCAAACCATGATCACAGACACAGAAGCTGTGGAGCCCACTTAAAAGTTGTAAACAACATATTACTCCAGGAGTATTTGGGTCACTAAAAGAGAATCAGCCTACCTATTTCGTGCTGCAATGGCATGTGCATTCAAATGGCTCAGCAACAGCTGATGGGACATGGAATGCTGTATGCCTCTAGTAAACAAAGCAAGGTATTACAGTACAGATTACTTTCCCTGCATTGTGGAAATGCGTCATGATAAAATCCTTTATATGGCAGCAAGAAAAACATCTATTTTTAATTGCTATTTAATAATGCATGGAATATAAAATTATGCCTAAATACGGGAGTATTAAATCAAAGCCTTATGGCCCTAGAGCAAATTCCCACCATAAGCTAGAAATACTTTTGTATCAGTACTAACCAAAGCAAAATAAGCCCCTTATACCACCTTGCCTGACCTAATTACACTATCATTTCCAAGCAATTCTTCCAAGTACCTTATCTAACCTCCTCTTCACTAGCTTGTAATATGTTGCCCCAGCATCTGAATCACCATTCAACTCTTTACAGAGGCAATCAGAATATATCCTAAACTAATGCTTAATAAATCAAGAAAACAGAGTCTAAAACATTTCCTTCATCCTTCACCAATATCTGTTGTGACACTTACCAGATTTAGCATTGGGATCCTACGCATGCTTACTCAAAAGTTAAAACTTATGAGTTAAATGGGATTTACTCCCAAGCAAATGTGTAGAATACTGCAGACTTGGAAAACTGATACGCTGAATCAATCAACTGGAACCAAACAGAGACTTAAATCTTTCCAAATATTCAGTAAAACCCATAGCCTGATTTGAACCAACACCTGCCTAGTTCAACACCTGATGTTTAGATCACACTGATTTTCCATAAAATAATACTTTATGGCAGGGCTGGGAAACCTACAGCCCTTCAAATGTTCATTGACTCCAACTACCATCAACCTTAAAGTTCGTCAACACATGCTCCCCATTTCTGCTTTATGGTATGCATTGATTTGCAATTTGATTTTTACCAGACTATCATCATGAGCCAACCGGCCAGTGAAGAAGGACTGTGTAATAAAGTAAAATATAACCCATCAATCAAATCAAAAAGAAGTAGTATTCTAAAGAGAACATGTTCCTCCTGCAACTGGTTAGCAACCAATTATAGGGTTGTGGTCTTTTATAGGAAATGCCTGTGGCTGACATAAGTGGACTGGTGGGTATCAACACTGCAAAAGAAAAAGAAAAAAGAAAGAAAGAAATGTCCCTAGCAGGAAAATGAGAGTTCTCATGGAGTTAGCTAATATTCTCAAGGTGTTCAACCTCCCTCTAATGTAGTAGTTTTCAAAATGTGGTGGCTACAGGACACCTGGTGCAGGGGTCACAAAGATCTAGGGAAAGAAAGGATCTCTCAGCAGGTGAAGTATTTCCCCTCTTCGTCTGACAAGCCTTGGATGGGTTGGTGGATGTCTCTGTCAGAAGGCCAAACTACACATTACATTAGCACATACCTGTGCCTTTAAGAGGATGCTGATATCCTCCAATACATCCCACAAACTGTCTGGGAAACCCAGGCCTCATCCTGAACCCTGTCCCTCCACTCTGGAGAAGGGACAGGGGGGCTCCACTCTGCATAGTCACTACATGATGTCCCCAAATCCAGTACAGAATCCTGCCATTATACTGCCATTGTAAAAGTATAATTCACTTTTGGCAAACTATCTAACAATCTGATCTAACAAGCTGTCCATATATCACCTCCTCCCCAAATTAATCTGAGCCAAAATTCAGCTCATAATATTAAGGCAGGTAAGAACATAGGTATGGGAAGTGCATGAGAACTAGCAGCAGGACAGTAAATCAATATATGAAGAAATGCATCAAGGGGCGAAGGTAGACCCAAACTCATGGTCTGCTAACTCTGCATTAGCAGAAGTGCCTGTTCAGAGGAGGAAAACAAGCACTTCTGTATTGGTAGTTAACCAACAGTTCCCTAAAATAAATGGCCTCTGTTACTACCAATTAGAAGGCAATAGATAATATATGCTAGCTAGCATGACCCACTCAGCTGTGTGTGCAACACATCTCCCTTCAAAGAACATTAAGAGGGTCTCTCTCTTTTCCCGTAACAGCACTAATCAGCCTCCACACTCCCTGCTCAATCAATCTGTAGTATCTCTCCGGTCATGTGGTCCAAAGTCAGAGGAATCTTACAAGCACACACACACAAAAATATAAACTGGTGTAAGAGCAAAATTATGTGAATGGAATTATGGCACATTCCCTTGACAGAAGGCAGGGTTGTTAATTTAAAAACAACAACAACAACAACCAAAAAACCTTGTGTCGTTTGGCTGAGCAATTTTGCAACATAATAAAAATTGATTTTATCAGACAGATGAGCCATATTTGGGGATTCTAATTCCCCCGTGTGATTAGAACAGCATGATAAAGAGCAAGGGCGAGGAGTAGCTCTGTCCCCACCCCAATCACTATTTTTTTTAGCTCTGCACAACTTGGAGTCTGCAGCGGGGAGCCTGTTGCACTCTTGATTTAGAACCCCTTGAAGATCAGGATTCTAAAATAGCATAGGCAGCCTAGCAAGTGATCGTCAGCCTTGGGTCCCCAGATGCTGATGAATTCCAACTCCCATCATCTCCAGTCTGGTCAAGGTTGATGGGAGCTGGGAGTCCGGCGACGACTAGAAAAGGCTCCCAACTTCAGTGGTTATAACATGAGGGATTACAATGCTTGAATGGAGCTACAACAGCTGATCTTGTTGCTGTGTAGACCAATTCATCGATAACATGCAGATCTTCTACATCTTGGGTAGACAAACTAAGACCCGGGGACCAGATCGCCTTCTAAATCCAGCCTGCAGACGGTCCGGGAATCAGCATGTTTTTACATGAGTAGAATGCGTACTTTTATTTAAAATATATCTCTGGGTTATTTGTGCAGCATAGGAATTCGTTCATTTCCCCCCCAAAAATATAGTCTGGCCCCCACAAGGTCTGAAGGACAGTGGACCAGCCCCCTGCTGAAAAAAATTTGCTGATCCCTGTTCTACATCTTCAAACCATTCTTAAGTTTCAAACTGCAAATGTAACTCACGGAAAGCCTATTCTGAATGCTTAGTAGAAACACAGTTTTTCAGTTCCCACCTTCACCAAGAATGCTCCTTTTTCAACATTTGATCCATCGGGCAGCCATTCATCATCCAAAAAGATCAGAGCATAGGTGGAAACTGGAAATTACCGGGCTTCAAGATGAAACAGGGGCACAGGTGTATTCTGAAGCAAACACTGGCAGGGAAGCAAGGATTTGTTCCTGGCAATTTGTAGTACAGCTACACTGCAATGGCCCAAAAGTGCTGTGTAGAAATTTCCAAGTGATGGGAGGAACTGGTAGTTTCACCTTGGGCCTCTCTATAAAATGGGGGTGGGGATGATTGAGCCACTCCAGGTTGAACTACGAGACTCAAGACAAGCAGTCTGCCAGGCTTGTGATTTTCAGTGATCCCTAAACTGCAGGACCAAGCAAATCAAAGGAAGATTCCTTCCATTGCAGGGGGTTGGGATTGGATGACCCTTGCGGTCCCTTCCAATGATGCTATGATTCTATAAATGAGCAGGCACAACTCTCGTGTGGTGCACTTTATAGACCTCATGGAAGGATTAAGGGAAGTGGGGAGGGGGAGCCTGCAAAAAAAAGTGGTTTGCCACATAATTAATATGGTGAAAGACAGGAAGAAGCAGCATATGGCAGCATTTTGTGGCAACACATGAAGCAGACACAGCCAACCATTTATTACTAAATAACGTATTACAGGCGGCTAGATGGGGCTGATGGGAATCATATCCCAAACATCTGGGGGGGCACCAGGTTGGTGAGGGCTGATGTTTTACATGTGTTAGCAAGGTGATTAGTTTTATTAATGCCACAAGTTTTTGTTCTAAGAAAAACAACACCAAGGCAGGTGTCCCATTAACTTAAGAGGGTTAGATTTAGGTTATTATTGGATTTTGTGGTTTATTTGCCAACAACATCAGCGCAGTTTTCCTGTTTGTTTTGAGAAATTGCTGCGTGCTCTTTGAGTCTCCTCATTTTCCTCTAGTTAAAAAAGCAGTGGGACACCTCAAACACCTGTCCAAAGAATGTCCATGGATGCATCAGGACACCCCATCTTCAGCCACTGCTGGGAGGGGAGAAGGGGAAGAAATACACTGGGTGACAAATAATGGTTTGCTATTGAAGCTACAGGGTAAGCCCTACAGATCTGTCACCTCGCCTCCCCATATGGAATTGACAGCTGAGAGAAATGCAGTGAAGATCCTACAAGATCCAGAATTCCTTATAAACACTCTGCTCCACCCCCAGTGGTGTGGGACAGGTCAAGGCATTTTACTAACAACTGTAAATCGGGACAATGCAGTAACCTCATCTTAAAAGGGAATTGATAGCTCAGTTGGTAAGAGCATGGTGCTGATAAATGACAAGGTTGAAGGTTCGATCCCCATATGGGACAGCTGCATATTCCTGCATTGCAGGGGGTTGGACTAGAAGATCCTTTACATCCCTTCCAACAATACAATTGCACGAATCTATGATCTGACATGGGGACGCGGGTGGCGCTGTGGGTTAAACCGCAGAGCCTAGGGCTGGCTGATCAGAAGGTCGGCAGTTTGAATCCCTGCGACGGAGTGAGCTCCCATTGCTCGGTCCCAGCTCCTGCCAACCTAGCAGTTCGAAAGCACGCCCAAAAGTGCAAGTAGATAAATAGGTACCGCTCTGGCGGGAAGGTAAATGGTGTTTCCGTGCGCTGCTCTGGTTTCGGTGTTCCGTTGTGCCAGAAGCAGCTTAGTCATGCTGGCCACATGACCTGGAAAAACTGTCTGTGGACAAATGCCAGCTCCCTCAGCCTATAAAGCGAGTGCCACAACCCCAGAGTCATCTGCAACTGGACATAACTGTCATGGGTCCTTCACCTTCATGATCAATCATTGGTGGCTGAGGGCAGGCTGGTTGAAGTGGCGCAAGTCATGTCCCAAGTAAGACCGAGAGCTTAAAAGCTCTTTGGTGCTGGGTTCACTTGGTGTGAAAAGAGCTTTTAAAGCTCTCAGCTTTGCTTGCACTGGCTCTCGGAGGGCTAGAGATGCTCTCATGAGAATCTGCAGGAAGTCAGACTGTTGGAAGATAGATTAGTAATGAAGACAGTGGTAATGCAATAGCTGTTATATATGCTTTCCTCATCTTGGAATTATTTTTATATAGCCTGTCTCTTAAAAATGCAAGCATGGTATAGTAGTTAGCCGTGTCGGATTAGTACCTGGGAGACCAGCACTCAAATCCCCTCCTCAGCTGTAAAGCTCACTCCTCAACTCGGGGCCAGTCACTGTCCCTTAGCCTAGCCTACCTCACAGGGTCGCTGTGAGGATAAAATGGGAAGGGGGAGACCCATAAAAACCACTGTAATCTCTTTGAAGGAAAGGTGGGACATCAGCTGCTTCAGCAAAACAGCACTCTACCCAATAACATCTCTCCAACTGTGTTGGCCATGTCCCACCCGAGACACTCCCTTGCCTGTGCATACAAGACTAAGAGACATCATAACTCTGGATGGGGCACATGATTGGATTCAAAGCTTCCCTGCACATGCAGAGGAAGATCCTAAGAAAATAAGTAAGAAGTGGCTGAGTGGTAGCAGCATGTATATTATTAGCTCCAGACAAAGTACGCATGGTTGCCCTTCATAATTCGTTCCAGGCCCAGGAAACTGGCCTCTGCTTTCATAGTTGGAGCTGCACATCAATGGACTATACATCTAAAGCTATGGCGACAATGTAAACCCAGCAGAGACGAATATTAATAGCTGGCAAAAGTCCCAAGTAATTCAGTACCTTAGTAATGGATATTCCTATAGAACCTAAGCCATAAAGTTGGAGAAGAATAAAAAACAGGAATTTAAATAGAATATATGCTTACAGATTGAGAAATCTCAAATAAGAGGACAGTTCTGGGATCTACTGTGGGTTTGAGGCAGTGTCTGGGGCAGCAATACATTATGGAACTGGCTGCAGGCAAATTGTAATGCAGTGTACAGATACCCAAAAATCTACAGCCACCTGAAATGACTTCACTCATTTTCCCTTGTTGTCCCTTGCGACTGGAACAGCCTCCTGGTGCAACTCCATGCAACCAGCTCGCTTGTTCACTTATGCCCCTCCTCAAAACCTACCTCACCCAGGAAGCCTTTGAATCATTTCCCTAGGCCCTACACCTTATTGCAGGGGTCCCCAACATGGAGCCCACAGGTGTTAATATCTCCATCAGTACCTCCATAAAAGGTCTCAGTAAATATCCCCTCAAAAATCCACAATCGGCTGGGAGAGACCCCGTATCTGAAATTCTGGGCAGCTGCTGCCAGTCAGATGGACCAAATGGTCTAAGCTGGTATAAGGCAGCTTTCTAGTATGTCCCTGAACAGCATCTGCTAGGGTGCAGTAGTGGAAAAGGGCAGTGTCCTAGTTTTCCAGTGGCATCTGGTTGGCATCTGTAGGAAACAAGATCCCTGACTGGATGAACCTTTGGTCTGATCCAGCAGGTCTCTTGTTATGACCCCATGTTCCGTTAGTTTCATCCTGGTAGCAAACAACACACTATGAGCTTGTCAGCAGGATATTACTGCACTTCCTTTTAACAGTTTGTCTTTCTCTCTTCTGTTAATACGGGGGTGGGGAGAGAGAGAGAAACAGAGTTTTGTTATCCAGCTGTTGGGAAATGCAGGTATACTTCAGGTGCCTTGTAACTCAGAGCTGACCTTTGAGTATTACCGCATCTGGAATCATGCGAGTTGAAAAATACATGTATGACGTTAGGTATCTTTCCAAAACCAAAAGAAATCATCCCGCCTAAAACAGCAGCTATTTCTCAGCTTTATAGTTTCCTCACTCCTGACTTGTTTTGCTTCAAACTAGTTGAGAGTGTGTTGGCTAAGTTGGGAGGTCTGGAATGCAGGAATATGCCCATCTAACGAAGATCTCATTTCAGTGCTGATTAAAGAAAGATGTGGTAAGAGAACTTGCTGTAAAGTTGCGCTTCTCATCAGATTCTGAGACAGTCTTTTTAAGAGAGAGAGAGAGAGAGAGAGAGAGAGAGAGAGAGAGAGAGAGAGAGGAGTTTGAAATAAATATTCTGGCCTCGCCCAATGAAAATTTCTCCACTGAAGAGAGCAGTGAGAATAAGCAGCATTACTAATTTGTCGCAGCAGACAAGATCCTAGAGGAGAGAGAAAGAAGCATGTTGAGATCATCAGCGCAGGAGTGGGTCTGAGTGCTCTTGTTGATTTATTGTTTGCTTTATAGTCTTACGTACCCATCCTTCAGCCAAAATGGTTCCCCAGCTAGTTGTGCAACCCAATCCTACCTGTGGTTTCCTGGAGGTAAGTCCCACTGACCCGAGTGGGAGTTATTGCCCAGTAATTTCACACGGGGTTGCAGCCAAAGTCACTTTGGGGCATCTCTGTCCTGCCAAAATCCCAAGGGAAGTTTCTTACATCTAGGCCCAACGACCAAAAACTAAATGACCTATCAAAACTTGTTCTTTAAAAATAACTGTTCTGGGAAGCCCTCGATCAGCAAAAGGAATGCAGAATGCAGGGAGAAAAGGGTTAGCCTTTCTCCCTGCACCACAGACTTTTATTTAATCCCACATGTTTTGGAGTGTTTTCCCAGGCAACATACACTTTAAGGAACTGACCCTTCAGTGTAGCAGCACCTGCAATTTGGAGCTCCATGGCCATTGATATTGGGCAGGAGCTTTTGCTTTTTTCAGCACCCAATGAAAACTCTTTCATTTAATTTAAGCAAGCCGACCGAGACAGGAACATTTGACATGCACATTCTAATATGTAGCTTTATTTATAATGTATCAGTATGACACCCGATCTTCGCCAAAAGGCCGAGAAGCAATATTTATAATGTATATTTAAAAAAAAAAAATGTCAATTTTGGTGGAAAGAACAAGCTAGCATTTATTTGTTTTTTACACCTGGTATTACTGGTAGCTTTAATGTATATTTTATGTAAACAACTTAAGAGATGTTGATGATAAAGTGTTATATGAATATGGTTAAATAAAACAAAAGTAAAATCATCCATGTTAGATAATCTGAGCCAAGGATAGGTCCATTTTTGGTGTGAAATATATCTGGTAAAAAAAACCCCAACTAGCATAGCCACTCTATATGTTATAAGACAGAAGCAGGTACAGGGTGCGTTTTTTAAAATGTGATCCTGCATTTAAAGTACTGTGCAGGAGCATTTCACATATTTGTGAGCTGTGTTCTGACGCTGAGAGCAGGATCCTTGACTAAGAGAACTTCCAGCCTGGTGTTGCACTCTGCAACATGTTCTTGACACAATTACAGGGATTTATTTGGCTTTAATGTGTTCTGCGATGCTTCCCTAATGCAACACTGTACGTTGTTGCAGTCCGGAGAGACTACAGCACAACAAAAGCAGGACAAAAACAAACCAGAACATTTGCGTTACAAAAACTTAACAGGATTTTATCAGGAAGTTACAGGGTATATATGCACTGACTGGAGATGAAGCAGTCTGGCTGCTCCAAAATTCTGCAGGCACGAACAGTATTAAAAGCAGGATCGTGTGTGATTGCACTAGTATCATCATGAGCCCAAATCATCATGAATTTGCAATAATACGGGTGCCTAGAAGGGACCTAAGCTATGGAAAGTCTCCTACTCAAAGATCTTCAGTCAAGACGTGATACCTTTGGGAGGAAGAGTGGGATATAAATTTAATAACTAACTAACAGTAACTCCCTTAGGTGTGCCTAGGCGCCACTTTAAGCAATTACCTTGATGGGGCTGTGCAGTTGGGCCCCTCTCTTAAAATCAGACCTATCCCCCAGAGAGGCAGAGAAGATTGAAAGGATTGCATCAAGAACAGTAACAGGATTAGAGAAGAGCTGCAGAAAGGTTGCAGGCATTGATTGATGTGTAAATGTGGAAGGGAAAGAAGATGTTTTCAACACCCTTTTCCAGAGGGAAGGAAAGCTTCATTAAAAAGAAAGGGTGGTTGGGAGTAGCTATAATCCATTTTATTAAAAGTTCACTTCAGTTCTTACTGGAGGGCTACAAAGAGGCATTTGTAAGTCGGTTGTTTTCTTTTAGTTAAACCTGCAAGTTTCCTGAACCTATTAGGTTCATTTCTGAGGTCGTTGTGAAAAGGGTTCAGAGAGCACTTTGTTCCATTTTTGTGAAATTTCTCATGAAAGTTTTCAAGTGATGAAATTTGGGGCGGTATTCCAGCATACGGTTTCTTCATGGGTGATTCATGTGCATAAAGGGGGAGGACATGTCCCTGCCACACCCAACATTGTGAATGAAATTTCGCATGCATTGTAACCAGGAAAACTAACACAATAATCCCCTTGATGAATTCACCTTTAGCCTCTCCTACCTCACAGGATCATTGTGAGGATAAGCTTGGCTAAGGGGAACCAC